AGCTTATTGGTTATGAACAAGACTTCACTTTAGAATAGGGAACATGTTCTTAGATATAAATACCTAATTAGAGTCAAACTACTAGCTTATTGGTGATGAACAAGACTTCACTTTAGAATAGAGAACATTTTCTTAGATATAAATACCTAATTAGAGTCAAACTACTAGCTTATTGGTTATGAACAAGACTTCACTTTAGAATAGGGAACATGTTCTTAGATATAAATACCTAATTTTGAGTTATTTAGACACAATTAACACTTATAGTTTCATGTCTTGTTACATAAGAATAGATCATATTTGTTAAGTGTTATTCTGGGAGAATTACTATTCTTGTGCTACTACTGCCTTATTAGGCCCATATTGAGCAGAGCATATTAAGACCCAAACTCATGTACAACAACTTCCTTACTTGCAATAAATAAGCACTAATTAGATGGTTATTGAGGAAAAACTCTCAACTAATGGCGTATTACTTGTAGAATATGGTCATGTAGAATAAGGCATTAATAAGTGTTTTATAATGACTAATAAAGAGCCAATATACTGCTAATATGCATGTTAATTAACAACTAGTTGATGGTTAATTTGTGTACCTACACAACATCCTTATACATGATTAATTTATCCGAACCCAGAGCAAGCACAGCTACGCAACACACACACCACCACACACACACACACACACACACAACACGACACGGACACAACACACACAACACACACACAACCACAGCACACGGGCACACACACACACCACACGAAACAATCGTGGGAATTATAAAGGACGACGTCACCGACGACTCACAATAGGTCTTTTCCCACTCACCGTCTCAGTAGTATAGAAGTGACCGGAATGATTGACAAAAAAGTCTTTGCTTATTATAGCATCGTTTCTGTAGTTCCTTAGGAGTTGTGTGTGTCTCGACCGTCCGAGTCGAGTAATCCGGGTCTAGATACTGAACGAATCTAGTCTAGTACTGTTATATGACAAATTCCCCGGGTTATTACATAAAAAACCCCCCAGCACAAGGGACAGGACATCACATAAGATATCTGACACAGTACGTACATTTACTTGCGTATCATTGTATAGACTGAAATTTTAGTCCATTTTCGAAGTTTGAATTTCAGGTTAGAAAGTCAAACAACACACGTCTTGGTCTCTCTTAGCTGTTATGTAAGGTCG